GTTGAGGGTTCGCGTGCAAGGGAGGTTATAGAAAGTTTTCCTCAACATCTGCTAATTATCCCAAGGCCATAGAATGTTTGAAGGCTCGTTTTGGTCGAAATGACTTGCAAGTGGAAGTTTATGTGAAAGAATTGTTGAAATTGGTCCTGAAAAATGCAAATTGTAGTAATTCCTGTAATAACTTATGTGCATTATATGATAATTTGGAACAACAAATTCGGGCTCTGGAAACCCTTGGCGTCACTACAGATATAAGTGCTGCATTACTTTATCCTTTAGTTGAATCTTGCTTGCCTGAGGATTTTTTAAGAGCCTATCAAAGAAGTGAAAATGTTGACCATGGTCCAGACCCTAAATGTAGACTGGACAGTTTATTAAAATTTTTGAAATCAGAAGTAGAATCCAAAGAACGCATAAGTTTAGCTATGGCTGGTTTTGGTTTGAAGAACGAAGTGACCTGTGAGATTAAATCTATTAAAACTGTTCACGATCGACCATCAACGGCAGCAAGTTTAATGAGTACTGATTCTTCCGCTAAGAAGTGCGTGTTTTGCAGCGGAAAACATGATTCATTTAATTGTTTTAAGGCTCAAAAAATGACATTTTCAGAGAGGCAAAAACTCTTAAAAGATAAAAACACTGCTTTCGCTGTTTAAAGGCTGGTCATTGTGCAAATAAATGCAGGAGTTCTATTAAATGTGCAATTTGCCATAAAAATCACAGCGTAATTATGTGTTTAGAATTGCTTAAAAATAAAACAAATGTTAAAAAGCCTATGTTAAACAGCATTGAAAAAGAAACTAGCAAGGAAGAAAGTTCTGTACATCTTTCTGGCGTGAGCAACACACCACAAGTACTTTTGCAAACCCTGAAAGTAAAAATAATTGGAAATAATTGTACACTTTGTGTTCGAGCTTTATATGACACAGGATCTCAAAAAGCGTATTTAAGGAAGGATTTAATTTCTTTTCTAGGCCTGATACCTTCTAGACAACAGATTTAAAGCCACGCCCTTTTTGGAGGAGAACGAACACCTGAAAATGTGCATAATGTCTACAGAATTAAGCTAAAGAGTTTAGACGATAATTTTACTTGTACTTTTGATATTTATGAGCAAGGTACAATTTGTGATGCTGTACCTTCTGCCTTAAATGGGCCATGGATTAAAGAGCTCAGGTCCATGAATATACCATTTTATGACACTGAAGATTTATCAGGGCCTATTGATCTTTTAATTGGTGCAGATGTGGCTGGTCGACTTTTCACCGACAGAAAAATAGTACTTTCTAGTGGTATTGTAGCCATAGAAACTTACCTGGGCTGGACATTGATTGGTAAAACATCAGTGAATGATGAAAGCGAAGATACGGCGATGACGATTGTAACAATGTTTGTGAAAGATGCCAATATTTCTGACTTTTTTTCCTTAGACATCTTAGGAATATCTGATCCAGTCGAAGTAAAATCACGAAAGGAAAAGGAATTTCTTACGAAGAAATATTTTCAAGAGACTCTACTCATCAATGATGATGGGCGTTACAAAGTTGCCTTGCCGTGGAAAGACGATCATTTGCCTCTCCCAACCAACAAAGATATAGCGATAAGAAGACTTCAAGTCTCAACAAAAAAGCTGAATTCAGAAAAATTATTTAATACCTATGATGATGTCTTTAAGCAATGGACTGAATTGAAAATAATAGATGATGTCACAGATGTGCATGATTCACACCAGCACTTTCTTCCTCACCGACCTGTAGTCAAGGGACATGGTACTACCAAAGTACGTCCAGTGTTCGATGCGTCTGCAAGGCAAATTGGATCTCCATCTTTGAACCAGTGTCTAGAATCCGGTCTCAGTTTATTAGAACTCATTCCAAGTCTCCTTCTGAGATTTAGAGAATTTAAAAATGGTGTTATTGCAGATATTGAAAAGGCCTTTTTGCAAGTGAGCGTTCGGCCAGAAGAATGAAACTATTTGAGATTCTTCTGGTGGAATGATAGCGACTGTAAAGAAGTTAAGGTAATGCAACACAATAGATTGGTCTTTAGTGTAAAGAGCAGCCCTTTTCTTTTGGGAGCAGTCTTAGATTATCATTTGGGAAAATATTTGAATGATGCCAGATATAATCAAGATTATGTTAAGATTCTTCTTTCGAGCTTCTATGTTGATAATTTAGTAACGAGCTTAAATGATACACGTGATATATTATCTTTCATTGAAACGTCTCAAGCCATACTGAGTGAGGGAAAATTCAATTTGAGAGGCTGGCAGTACACTAATGATAATGGTCCTGAACCATTTACTTCTGTATTAGGACTTTTATGGGATAGAAACAAGGATACGCTGATGATAAATCTGGACTGGTTAGACAGCTATAAATTCAAAACTTTAACCAAAAGAATAATTCTTTCTGTCACTCATAAGGTGCTCGATCCAGTTGGTATATTATGTCCTGTTTTGCTGATACCCAAATTGTTATTGCAAAAGATGTGGAAAGAAAACATACCTTGAGACTCTGAAGTCAACGCTAATATAAAAGAATTTATGAGCCGGTTTTCAGAACTTCCTTTGCTGAAGGAAGTGACCATATCACGGTGTTTTTCAATTGATCTAAGTAGACAAAACATTTCTCTTCATACGCTTTGTAATGCTAGTCATTCGGCCTTCGCAACAGCTGTTTACATTCGTGTGGAGACATCGGAGAATGTCCAAGTTCATCTTTTAGCAGCCAAAGCTAGAGTGTCTTCTGTAAAACCCATGACTATCCCTCGATTGGAGCTGATGGCTGCTATGGTGGGAGCTCGTTTGTGTGCATCTGTTGTGGAAGGGCTTCAATGGAAACATGTTGAACAGCATTATTGGACTGACTCAACGGTTGTTTTAGGGTTGAAGGGTTATTCAGTGGAAACAGCCAAAAAGATATGAAATCTATAAAAACTAGGAGTGGAAAAGAAGTGAAGCCTGTCCAAAGACTAGACTTATAGACTTTATAAATGTTTGGACTTTAATTCAGTTCTTTTATGTTTTTCCATTAATTTCTTCTTTAATATTTCTAATGTGTTAAGTTGTTTCCCAACAACTTAAGGTGGGAGGATGTTGGATTTCAAAACAATGTAGTTTGTATTTACTTTACTTTAATTTTATACTTATAATTTTACAATACTTATTACTTTTATCTTTTGGCCACTAATAATTTTTGTTAGTTTGGTTTCATGAGAGTGGCAACAGGGCAATTCATAGAATTAGGTAAACATGTTTCTGTAGTTAGTTAGGCTTATTGAAGATTAATTGCATGTTATATACCTGAGTGATGCTTTATTAAATAAATAAATGAATACTTTAGAATATAGTAGTCTCTTTAGAGTCCTTGATACTCTGGTAGCGTTATAGTTTGACGCATAAGCGAACATGCCTTTCAAACAATAGCAAATGTAGGCTGATATCTCCTTTCTTGTCATCGAATTTCTGCATAAAGAAACGCTGCTCCGTTTTCGGCCGGACATGTGCGGTAGATTAAGACTTTGTCTCTGCTTCAAGTCTTAATCTCTGTAATTCAAACTGTTCTTTCCTTCTCCGCTCTTCTGCTTATTCCTGCCTCCTGCATTTTTTCTTTCCTTCCTCCCTTTCCGTTCTTCTCTTTCCTCCCTTTCTCTTCGTTCTTGTATTATTGTGTCTAATACTCCTTTGACGAATACCTCATCATAATCTCTACTTTCAACAGTTTTCTGTTTTAAATCAACTATTTTCAAATCTGCAGTCACATGAACTCCCAGTTCAGCCGCGAGATTTTGCAAATCTTCCTTACGAGCTCTTCCTAGTAAGACATTGTTTCTACGTTTAAAATTATTGAACATTGTGTTCTTTTTACTTCCTCAAAATAGCTCAAATCAATTATTTTAATTAAATAATGCAGTCAGGAATTACGGAACTAAATGCACTCTGTTAAATACGCAAACCTCAAAAATGAGATATTTAATTTATACGAAATTCATACTCTCTACCACATTCATTGTGACTAAAATAAAAATAACAACATACAGCAATGTATATGTCTACCGTTGGACAACTAAATATTAAAAATAATATCCAATACGGTAATAAAATAAGACAATTCAATATTAACAGGAAGTAATCTCTAATTCAGAGGTGATCCAGTAAATTAAAGCTATTCAGTATTAGCAGGAAGTAATAATCTGGTATCACTAATATTACGTTCAGTGATGAACTAATAAAATAAAAATACGCACGATTATTCGGTTTCAGTCGGTGCCTCCAAAATAATTAAGACAGTGATACTTCTTTCGCAATTTGAAGCAAACTCCATTGATGAAACACAGCAATAATTTTTATTTAACACTTAAAAATGAGACATACAAACAAGAAAAGAAAACGTATTCTAACATTTAAAAACAAAATAAATACATTCTTCGTGCCAGAGCCACATGTGGCACTCCAGCCTGCGTTTCGAACATTGCCATTAACATATACCTTAATGTTCATCTATTTAAATTACAAAATTTTATTTACAATATTTAAGGCTGTTCCACTAGGTTACCATTTTTCCTTGCTAAAAGACTTAACCGCCAAACAGTAATCTACTATCACTCAAGACTGGGATCACGTGATCCTTCAGAAGCAGAACTTTCGTCTGATTGGTTGATCTCTACCCGCGACAGAGCTGCAGCCGAACCAATTTCGACGATGTTTCAAAAAATTCCGCGTAGCCGGTACATCGTTTCCGTAGCTAGGCGGGACTTCGCTTCCAGCGGAGCTGTTTTTTCTAGGAATCCTCCCGTTTAAACTAGTGCTACCAGAAGTTTTTCAGAAAAGTCCCGTTTAGCAGAGACCGTCGCTAGATGCGATAATCCCTTAAGAACGAAAATAGTGAGATTTTTGTTTTGCTATATCACACATTCTCAAATTTCCCTTTCTATGCAAACTATTTTTAATGGAGAATTTAATAGAGAGTGGAGTAAAGTATTTTTAATGGAATTCTTACTTGATCCAGGTAAGGGGCATGTCTCACAAGGTTGTTCGCCCCATCCTTTACCCATGTTCTCACCACAGCAACATTCTACTTTGGATAGCCGCACAGCCAGAGGATTCCTGCATTGTCCTCCCATGACGTCGACATAGCAATTACCTTGTCGAGTGTCTAAAGAAAGAAGGGAAACATATTTCATTAAATTATTTATTATCAAACACTTCATTCAATTTTAAAATTCACTAAAATGAACGTCACATTTGTTATAAGGTCCCATTGATCATTAAGTAACGTAAATTGTTGTAAACACATCAAGCCTACAAATGTTTTGAATTACTGAATTTACCGTAAAATACTACATGGTACAGCGGTTGCAATAAGATCGCCAGGTTATATATTTTGGGTTCGTGACACTTAGCCGACAACCACTTAACCGACACCAGTTAGCCGACAGGATATTTAGCCGACACGGATATTTAGCCGACAGGTCATTTAGCCAACACGGACAGTTAGCCGACAGGACATTTAGTCGACACGGACACTTAGCCGACAGGACATTAAGCCGACACGGACAGTTAGCCGACAGAACATTTGGCCGACACAGAGAGTTAGTCATCAGGATATTTACTACGGGACACTTAACTGTCAAGACATTTAATCAACAGAATACTAAGCCGACAGTGACGTTTAGCTGACACGTACCCAATAATTATTTAAACTGTCAATTACAAAATTTCCCGACTACTCCATAAGTTCAATATTTAAGTCATTTTTTTCACCTATCAGTAAAATTCGTTTTTTGATTCTTAAGACCTCATATGCGATTTTAACAATTGTGTTAAAATTTAGCATTGTTTGATTGTATCTTGCTTTTGGTGTATATTGGCCAAATTGAAAAAGCGATGAAATTTCTTGTGAGGGAATATGAATTAAATTTCGAAAGGAAAAAAGAATTTTTTTAGCAAAGTACTGCGATCACTTAATTACATTTTAATATGATCTTCAAAAATTATCCGTAAAGCTTCTTTATTTAATCAACTGGGTTCTTTTGAAAACTTTCACATCATTAATAATTTTTCTTGTTTACTTAATGATACTAATTTTTCAATCTCGCTCTTCCAAATGCTTTCAAATTTCTAATACCTTTACGTTTCATTACTATTTTTCTCATTACATCATGTTACATTCTTTCCCTCACAAAATCGTTTGGTTCCTCCCACTAATGAAATTTCCTTTCCTTGTCATGAAAAATCTGAATAATGCAATAAAAATTATTGTTATTCTTGAATTATACTTTTTTATATAAACATATGGTGTTGAGTGTTAGTTTAGCAAATATATTTTAATTTGTTATTAAAAACCATTAAAAAAAGTGAATTTTTAAGACAAGCAAGGGTATACATTTTTTGTGACTTCTATAATTTGCAGTTCATGCCACCATTCTTGAGATAAAAATTTGGAAACATTTTATTGACCATGCCTCTCGCTTAAAGTACTTACTTAGGTTAATGTTTGCAGCAGTAAATTGGTGCATAATGTTTAATTTAGAAGTAAACTATTCGGTTAATCTTCGGATGATGGTAACTTAACGATTTTTTGGCGAAAATTTGGCGATCAACCCTGCTACAGCAACCTGCTAGTTTTGTTTTGGACGCCATTTTGTTATCACGAAGTAAAGGCATTTTTTCTCCCCTTTTATCTTTTCTTTTTTTTTACTCAACATTTTTTTCTAACAATCTGCTAGCCGAATTACGCTTATGCTAGAACTTTTATGGAACAAAAGTGCTTAATCATGACGAAGATTAGGTGCGAAATTGGGAGAAAGTGCAGAATCGCCCACTGCTTGCCGCGTTTTTAAGAATTGCACATATACGGTATCATCTATGTACACGTCGACCTATTTTCACTTAAAAAAAACATCCCAGAATTGCACAAATATGGCATTGCGCACACTCTTGACTTTATCCATGTACACTGCGAAAGTCCTAGCTAGTAACCTTTATCGCCTTACCAAAATGTTGCCAAACTACCTGTTACCATATTCCAAAGATTAGCCAAATATTCTTTAAGGTTTTGTTTTATTCATAACTGAAGCTAACTAAAAGTTAACTAAAGATCTAAATAATTCAGAAGTTCACCTATTAATCTTAAATTAGTAAAGTTTGTTATGATCGCAGAAGAGCTAGAAAACCTAATAATGTGGCCTTGGCAGGCAGAAACACGCTCTGTCGTACAATCCAGGAGCCCTCAGCTTTAGTATTCTTAACCTAATTTGCCTTCTGGTTCAGAACCGAAGAGGAAAAGTGATAGTACAAGCTGAAGTTATAAATAACTGGTTAGATAAAATAATAATAGCCTTACAGTTTGTTGAACAAATAGTATTTACTGTATTATTTATTACTTTTGCATATAATTTAAATCAACAAGACTAAAAATAACATAGTACAATAATAACAAACTTGATTTTATTCAACCTAGAAAAAGCAGTCAGTTCAATTAGCCGTAATTCCGAATATCTGTAGACAGGATAATTAGATTTCTTTCATACTCTGGATTCGGGTTTAGAAGGTATTTCCGACAAAAGTAAAACACATGGCATCAGTAAAAAATTTCGCAATTTGCTAGTTAAAAAAAAAGCACTTTGTGAACCCTCATTATCACATATATTATCAATTATCTACTTCATAATTAAATAACCTTTTTAAACGTGTACGAATACATAATTCATGAAAAAATATTAGAAAATGCTGAGCCATAAACAGAGCATAATTTTGATTAGCGACAGAATTAATTAATTCATACTTTCTATTTCATCAAAATGCTTCCGTGACTTTAATTTGAACTTCGAATCGATAATGTGACGCTAACAAGTCACCTGTATAATAATGAAAATGTTACTTTTGCTTATTTTCTCTTATTAAAATAATAACTCAAACGATGAATTAATTACTATGCGGAGCAGAAGTTGTTGAAAAGCTGGATGATTAAAATCAAGCTCAGATGTGTTTAAATATTCCAAAAATATCAGGTAAATAACACAGTGCTAAATAACAAAGAAATTTAAGTAGCGGAAAATTTTAACTATGTTTTAAAACTAATAAAATATTTACGCGAAGAAAATAAGTTCTTTCCACGCACTTGCGAAATCATTTTAAATTGTTTACCACAGAAAAGAAGCAGCTACAATTTGAAAGCTAGAAATGTGTAAAGCCATAATTTTAACTGATGCAATAATTACGTGTAAAATATTAATGTTCAGAGAATTTGAAAGAAAGATGGTAAGAGTTCTAAAAATGTAAAGAAAAATAATTGAATATTTATTTCGAAGCAACAGTTTTAGTACAGAGGACTGTAGGAATGCATTGTGTTTTAAAAGACGGTGAGTCACATTAGGTACCAAAATTAATTACTGTGAATGAACGAATTGATTAATCAATTCCTCTTTAATTCAATATCCAATTACTCGGGTCTTCCTTTTTTCTTTTGTGACTGACATCAAAGTTAATATAATGTCAAAAAATAATCAACTGCTAATTCTGATGAAACAATTTACAGCAACACGACTTCCTTGTATGGTCTATTAAATTATACACATTTTTTGCTTCATTTCATTTAAACTTATTCCCACGAATCGCATTAGAGATATATTTCTCATTCAAGTCTCACTTCACTGAAAAGAAAAAATACATAAAAACTCAAAACATATTTATAAAAAATTGTAAAATAAATAAATAAATAATAAAAAAAAAGAAGCATAAAATATCAAATACAGCTAAAATAGTTAAAAAGAGCAATGCTTACAATTAAAATTAGAGTTTCTACGTAAAAGCAAGGAATTTAGCCAGCGGGTAAGAAGCAGATTTTTGGGTGCACAAAACTGAGCCTTTACTTTTGGTTCCATTCGGCAAAAATATATTGAAGGTGCAAGAACTGACTTAATTCACTATTCTACTGAGTTTCAAAAATAAACAAATGGCGTTTCGTTAGGCTTAACTCGGCACTTTTGAACTGTTGGTAATTCTACAACTACTGCATGCAGACTAACTAAAGGCATAAAAACCTTAACCGGAAGATAAAAACCACATACTTCAATCTCTTTTAAAGCAAGAAAATGCACCACATACCTACATATAAGAATAAAATCTTAAGCTCACCGAGCCAAATAACGGAGTCAGAATATATATATATATATTTGTATACGATTGGCGCAGGTGATTGCAACGAAAAGGGGAGGTGCACAACTGCATGTTATAGGAGTCAGATATACAAAATTTCAACGTTGTACGGCCACTCGTTCTTGAGTTATGCGAGATACGTACGTACGTACAGACATTAAGAAACAAATCTGTTCTGAATCCATTTTACAATCCTTTTTGGTGGAAGCAGTCCTTTATTCTGTGTTTACGTACAGATGTCATGAAAAAACGTCGTTCAGATGGTTTCGAGAGCGGTTGAAAAGGTATTTTCATTGAAATATGATACCAGAAAAGATTTTTATTTCCTTGTACGAAGGAAAAAAAAAATTATAATAACGTCATAGAGAACAATGAACACAGAACACGTTAATCGAAAAAAGCAGAAAATAATTAGCTTACTTGAATTGTTTGACTAAATTGCAGATATATAAAAAGATAGAACAAGATAACTATTCAGACAACCGACGCAGTTCTTTTCGAATTTTTCTGCTGTTATGCCATACTGCTCTTTTAGTCATCGATTTTACATAGCGAGATGAGTTAGAAACAATGAATCAGGACTTAGATATGTGAAAACGGAAGAAGTTAATCTTCTTTTGGTGTTAGTTATATTTATTCCGTTTTCGCATCATGCTGCTTATTTTTAACTGTTTCGTGAATGAAATTCAGTTTTTTTAAACTTAAAAATTTGACTGTTTTGCTTTTTTTAGAGGCTGAAAAAAAATAGCGTAAGTCGTATAATTTTGGCTTCCTTAGAAAACAATTTTCTTCCCTTAAAAATTTCTTCACAGAGTAGAAGGCACTGGATACGACAGGCACATTTTGCTTCTTGGATAAAATTTCAAATAAGTTTAATAAGCAATGCATTGTGGCAGTAATAATCACATCTGAAAACTATTTAATACGAAAAATTTTATTAATACTTCGAGTCTTATAATACTAAAAAGCCTTATTTAATACTTTTCTTAAATTGGG